CATTACCACACATACACTAGAGGCTTTGAGGGTTTGAAAAATTTACACATTGCAATATTATTAAAAATTTTCAATTAAAATAAATTGTAATTTATTTATATTATTTTATTTGCAGCTGACATACCAGTAGAAGAATTGTTCAATATGTTTTTTAGAGGTGGATTTCCATCGAATCAAAATGTTTATGTAAGAAGAAATGGAAGATGGCCAAGACAGGGAGAATCGGAACATTCAGGAAGAGAACAACCGAATACTCCGGCATACATAATACACTTTTTGCCTCTTTTAGTTTTGATAGTATTGTCATTGATGAGTTCATTTTTTGTCAATGATCCTATTTATAGTCTACATTCCAGTAGGTAAGTGGAGTACACAACCTGTGACTTTTTTTTTTTTTTTTTTTTTTATTGCTGTTAAAAATGTTTTTATTCTCAATAGATAAAAATATCATTAACAGAATTTACATTGACTTTTTTTTTGTTTTTGTTTTATTTACAATAGTTTAAGTGTAATTTAGAAATAATAATTAGCATAATCGAAATTGTCATTTTACAAAAATAATCAAATTGTTTTCTCTTTCCACCGCCTCCCCCCCGCCCCCCAATATTATTTTTACTTAGCTGTATATTATTTACATTAATTTAAAAAGAGAAAATGGGGTAATTATAATTACACATCGTTATTATTATTATTTCTACAAAAATTGATACCTAATGGAAACAAAATAAAAAAAAAAAATTGATAATGTTTTGGAAAAATTATTTAAAAAAAAAAAAATAAACGTGTAAAAGAAAATCTGGAAAACTTGTATATATAAACTATTGTTATTGATATTGTGTTTAAATAAGTTTTGCGTTAATAATAATAATATTAAAATTAAATAATGTAATTTAATTTATAAGATATTTAAATAATTAGTAGTAATTAAAGGAAAAAAACTATTCGAAATTATTTCGGTTTATTTTTTTTATAAATTTAAAAAAAAAAAAAAAAAACTTAAGTGTAAATTTTATTTTATTTTTTGTAAATAAACCGTTACAATTTAATTCAGGTACGCAAAAAATTAAAAAAAAATTGTTGGAATGATTTATATTTATTTATTTTTTTAATTTTTTTATTTACTTTATTACATTTACATGAAACCGTTCGGTCACGTTTTTCTTTTTGTAAAAAAATAAATAAATAAATAAATAAATTTTTTTTTATGTATTATGGGTCACGTGGTTTATGTATATGAACGTGTGTGTTTTTCTTTTCCAGCAAATTTAACATAAGACGTGTGACGGAAGACCATAAGATACCTTATTACGTCAAGGAAAATTTTCGAAACGAATATCATGGAAGTATGAAAAAATTAGAATTGACTATCGAAGAAGATTATTTATTAAATTTGAGGCAGGCTTGCATGAAAGAAAGGAGTCATAGTGAGTATGGGAGGGAAGTGGGAGGGGATTTACTTTTAAATTAATAAATTTCGATGAGAAATATTAATAAATTATTATTATTATTACAGGAGAAATGTTAATACAGAGAAGTCATTTGTTAGGTGATAGAAATGCATATGCAAGAGCCAAAGAAAAACCTATGCCATCATGTGAAACGTTGGAAAATTTACACAGAAGATTTAGCGAAAGTTTTTAATAATGGAAAAAAAATTTAATTTTTTTTGGTTTTTGTTTGTTTCCAAGACGGTTCTCGTGATGGAAACTCACCGCCTCCCGCCCCTCGTTCCCAGCCCCCCGCCCCCTCGATGTTCTTCTAATATTTAGAAGAAGAAGAAGAAGGAAAAAGGATCTTCATCTTGTGATGAAAAAAAAAAAAAAAAAAAAAAATGGATTCGATAATTAAAAAAATAGTATATCAATGTTTAGTGACGTCATCATTATTTGTTTAAATGAATATTATTTATAATATAATAATATAAGTCGGTGATTTATTAAAAAAAAGTTTTTATTACACTGAAAAAAAAATTGTAAATGGGTTGAAAAATAAATAGTAAATAAATAAAAAGGAAAGAATCAGTTTCATAATAATAATAATAATAATAATAATAAATAATTTAATAAATATTATTTTATAAAATTGTGTATATATAAGAAATTATTATTATTATTTTTTCTCTTCTTATATATTGTAAAAAAGTTATATATATATATATATATATATATATATATATATATATATATATATATATATATTAAATAGGTCGGTAATTAAATAATATAAATAGTAATTAATTCATTTTAAAAAAAAAATAATAATAATAATTTGATTATAATTTTTTTTTTTTATGTAATAATTTATATTTTGTTAATAAGGCGAAATTCAATAAAAAAAAATTTTGATTTTGTATAAGTTTGTTAAAAATGTATTATTATATCGTATAATGTATTATTGTTAAATGTTTATTATTATTATTATTATTATTATTATTATTATATTTATTAAATTTATTATATTAAAATAAAAAATGAATTTTTATAAATTATTTTCATCATAAGTTTAAAAGAAAAGAAAATAAAAAACTTTTATTGAAATATCGTCATTTTATCAATTTATTTACGATAATAATAATAGTAATAATAATCATAATAATAATATGATAATGATAACGATTTAGATGGTAAATAAAAAATAATTTTAAAAAATTTTCAAAAATTTATTTCGTTGCAAAAAAAAAAAAAATGTGTGTTAGTATAATTTTATTTATTTAATGTGACGTCATCAAAAAAAGTCTCGTCTTTGGGGGCGGGGGGGGGGAATTTATTATAAATCGTTCAAGTTCAAATGCACCGATTATAAAAAAATTAAATTAAATTCATACACGTGAACAAAATGATAATAATATAATTATATAGCTTTTAATTGTTTAGGATAATATAATGTTTAAGTCGAAATATATTCGAATGAATTTTAAAAAATTAGTATTATTATTATTATTATTATTATGTTTGTTGTTATATTTAAATATACTTTTTTTTCAATTATTATTATTATAAAAAAAAATTTTATTATTGCTTTCTTTATTATTATTATTATTATTTATTTATTTAATAAGTAATTGTTATAAATATATATATATATATATATATATATATATATATATATATATATATATATATATATATATATATGTTTTTTTAAATACTATGCGCAACAATGATTTCATTATGATAATAATAATAATTATAAAAATTTTTAATAAACGTTTTAAATTTATATCTCAATCTCGTATTTTTTTCTTATTATCACTGCTTTAATAATAAATAAATAAATAAATAAATAAATAAATAAAAACAATTTTTTAAAAATATTTCGATTATTAAAATTAGTAAATTTTTTATTGATTAAATTTTATTTCTTTTTTTTTATTTTGCTTTTTAAAAAAATTGAAAAAAAAAAAAAAATTTTTTTAAAGATTTCAGCAATAATAAATAAACATTTTATAAATATTGTACACAAGTTAAGTATTATTATTATTATTATTATTAATATTATTATTATTTTATAATTGTAATAAATAATATTTATCTGTTGAAATATATATTTAAATTATTCAATTATTTTCGTTTTTTATTAATATTATTATCATCACCTTTTGATAAAATTTAAATTTAATTCACGCGTACAAGAGAGATTCGAAAAAAAAATTACGAGAGGAAAATTATAAAACATTTTCCGACATTTTCTTTTTTAACGATTCGTAATTTTCTCTCGCGCTTTTTAAATTCGGATTATGTTTTAAAGCTTTCTTATACGATTCCAATGCTTTCCCATATTTTTTCCACCTGTGATATAAAACTCCTAAATTGGCATAATATTGTGAATTGTTCGGATCGAGTTTTAAAGCTTTTAAAAAATGCTTTTCCGATTCTTGATATTTTCCCAATTTTCCCAAAGTGTTGGCTTTGTTAAAATGAATTCCGGAATCGTTTGACAAAACGGTGAGTGCTTCGTTGGCGAGAGTTATGGCTTTGTTATAATTTTTTTTGTTGTCGTTTAATATTATGAGATTGTTCCATGCGAGTGACATGGTTGGCTTGAGTTTAATCGCAGACGTCCACGCCATTTCAGCTTCGTCGTATTTTTTCTGAGCGAGATACTGAAAATGAGAAGACGATTAAAAGAGGGAAGAAATATAATAATTAATCAACAAAGTATAATCACTAACCAAATTCCCTAAATTATAATGACAATCGGGATAATACTTTCTGTATTTTAAAGCATTCTTATAACATTCTTCTGCTTCTGAATATTTGTTAATTTGAGTTAAAACAATTCCTAAATTCATCCAAGCAGCCGGAAATTCTTTTCTAATATCAAGAGCTTTTCTCAACATGTCTTCAGCTTCTTTAAGTTCACCTTGAGATTTTAATATATTAGCTAGATTATTAAGTGCTTGATCGTAGTTTGGAAACAACCTAATCACAAAAACAAACAAATAAATATTGGGGATACTGATTAAGTGTAGTGACACACAAAATAAATAAAACCTTATCGCTTCTCTATATTCTTTAATGCCCTTATCAATGTTTCCAGAATCGACAGCACTTTTTGCTATGTTGTAATGAACTTTAGCATTTAAAGGACAAACCAATGATCCAGAATTAAATAAAGATTCTTCTGTTTTCCAATCTGAACTTCTTTCATATGATCTTATTAAAAAAACAATGGCAAGTAAAGAAAATCCAAATGTGAGATCCTACCAAAAAAAAAAAAGTTTAATCGTTAAAATTGTTTTTTTTTTTTACATTACTTAATTTATGAGTTATATTAAAATAGTTTTGATTTACATTTTTATTCAATGGAAAATTTTGAATGAGAACTTCTACTCCACAAACAACAAGTAAACAAAATCCAAGCGAAGGAATGTATAAAACTCTTTCAGCTACGACAAAACCAACAGTAAAAAAAATATTCGAAGCTGGTAAATATGGAATGATTATAATCGAAAGCGACATTAAAACACATCTGAAAAAAAAAAAAAATTATTTCAATCAAAATAAAATATGTATTTTGTTATTTTAAAAATTATTATATACTTTTGTCTTTCCAAATTTTTCATGAAAATTATTTTCCATATAATAAATGCAAGAGATAACCAAAATATTAGTACAAATATGATTCGTAAATCATTTATTGTAACAATCGGTATGCAACCCATTGACCAATCAAAGCACAACCATTCAGGACAAAACAACAGCCATAAATTTAGACTGAAAATGTAATTATAAGTTAACACCTGCATTAAAAAAATAATTTTATATAAAATAATTAAATTATCGATTAATAAAATAATATCGTTTTTTTTGTATGAAATTAATTTTTATTTTTTAAAATAATATTAACATTAAAATTATTTACTCTTGATAGCCATTTTTTTTCAAAACTGGCAGGATTGTCCACCCATTGAAATTTTGGACTCTGAAAATCCATTAAATAACAACGAAACAAAATTAAAAGCAGACCTGTTGTGATAAGTACAAGTTGCCTTTTCCATATTTTATTTATTAGAGATAAATTACTTTTTAAACGAATAATACTATTAAATTCTGATATTAATTGGCCCAAACTAATATTTTGTAAGAAAAAAATGTCATACACACAAAGTATGCCCTGAAAATAATAAATTTTTCGTTATATTTGAAGAGCATAAAGTTTAAAATTTAACTTGATGTAAATAGCACTTACAATCACAGTTATGCCTTGTTCCTTACAAAACATTGACACTCCAGCTAATATTACACTTAAACTTAACCACAGCCATGACAGTCTATCTTGAGGATTTGATTTAGAAAAAATTAATATTGATAAAAAAAAGAATAATGCTGACAGTAAATCTGCTCTCCCGACAATACCACATACCTAAATTTTCATTAATTAGATTTATTAATAATCAATTAATAATACAGTTAGAAAAAGGCAGTCACTTACTGCTTCACTATGAATAGGATGAACAGAAAACAAAACGGCTGCTAAAAAACCAATAAATAATTTTTCCTTTCCCAAAATAACTAAAAAAAGTGACCATGATAAAATTGAAATGAAAACATGAAGAATGATATTGACTAAATGAAAACTCCGTGGATTAAGTCCGCCGGCTATTTCATAATTCCATCGAAAACTTAATATAGTGAGAGGTCTGTAACTTTTATGACTATGATTAAATTTTAAATTGGTTCCCCAATAATCGTTTTGTAAAACATTTTTTATAGGAGTAGTCGGAAGAATATCTTTATTATTAATTAAAGCTTCGGAGTCATCAAAAACAAAGTCTCCGTTTAATGAATTAATATTACTTGTAGCAGCTAATAATGCAATAACTAAATAACCGAAAACATTAAACGTAGCAAAATTAAACTTTATATCCATATTTTTAAAGACATAATGAAAAATTATAAAGATTTAAAACAAATATAACAATAATGTATATAAAAAGTTAACGCGAACCATTTTTAACGTGTCATTAAATATTTTTTTACAAAGTGGCGACAAAAACGGTTAGACGCTTTCATAGAAAATTGTTCTAGAACAAAAGTAGTTTCTTTTTTTTTGTGTGTAAAAAAGGTTTTATAAACTTTATAAAGTAGAATTGTATTTTTGTTATTTATTATACAAAGTAATAATGTTTCATATTTTTAATATTGTTTTGCAAGAAATGTAAAATATCAAAAGATGTAAGTATATTTAAAATAACTTTCATTTTATTAAGCATAATTACAGTAAAGGAAAGAAGTAAGGAATGATGAAAACCTATTGAACTTTTTTTTTCTCTTTTCAATCATTTATTACGTTCTTTATTTAAAAAAAGTTTAGATAATTTATTTTTACTTATCATACTTCATATCAGACGTACGAAATTACTTTCTTATACGTTTCCATGTAAATAATATTAATTAAAAAAAATTCCTTCCTAACATTAGAATACAGTAAATTTTTTTCAATATGGCGTCGTGTCTAATTACAATTATTTGTTCAAAATGAATCCAAAAAAAAAAATGATAATTTACAAAGGAATCAAAAATCTTTTATAGTGTCTACATCAATTATAATATTCTCTTTAAAAAAAAAAAAAAAAAACAATTTTAGTATTTCAGCTGTCTTTATTATTTTACTTTTTCTTTCACAAATTATTATTAATTTATTTGATTAAAGAAAATTTTAACGATATCATTTGAATAAATTTAATTAAATTAAAAATTTACAAAATTGAAATGCAAAACGATAGAAATAAAATAAAAAGGAAGAAGAAGTAGAAAAAAAAATTTAGTTTAAAAAAAAAAAAAATTTTCACGACATAAAAAAAAAAAAAAATCTACTTTTAATATCCCCAGGGACTGAGTCGCGGCTCCCGGTATTGAATTAAGTTAAATGACATGAAAGAATGATATTAAATTTTTATATATTTAGACTTGAAAAAAAAAAAATTTTTACTTTCGAGTCGTAAAAAAAACGAAAAAATTTATTTATTTATATTTATATATATATACATTCATTCATGAAGAATCTGAAATTTATTATAACCTTTTTTTTACGATTTAAATTCGAATAGAAAAACATTTTTCTCTCTCTCTCTTTCTCTCTTTCTCTCTCTTATGGGAATACAGAATGAGAAGTGATATTTAATAGTTTTTTCACATTAAAACAGATAATAAAAAAAAAAAAAAAATGAAATCATCCCTAAAATCCCTTCCTTCAACAACCCCTTTATCCTTTTTACCACCACCACTACCACTACTACTACTAGTACTACTACTTCTACTACTACTACCACCACTACTACTACTACTACTAATACTACTTAGATATAAAATTATGCAATGTTTTATATCATCATCATCATCATCATCATCATCATCAATTTTAATTAATCAATCCTTGACACATAACTTACAAAATATTATTATTTTATATAATAAGAAATTTTTATTTTATCAATTAAAAAGTAACAGTAAGTAATAATAATAATAATTATAATTAACAATTGAAAATATGAAATTGATTAATTAATTTTAACCTTTTTGTATATAAATAAAGGCAAAAAACTTATTATTATTTTTTTTAATTAATAATAATAATAACTGAATCATTTTAATTTTTTATTTTTAAATAATGATTATTATCATCTATATTAACTAACCATTGTTTTTAAAAATAAAAATCAAACAAACAAATACATAAAAAAAAAAAACAAATTATTATATTCATTATTTATTTAAAATACAAACAATACAATACATTATATAAATAGATTATGTACAGTTCAACATAATATTATTATTATTATTAAATACATTTTTTATTTGATTATAATTGATATTATTAATCTGATAATAATGAATAACAAACAAAAACAACCAATTTTTATCAGCATAAACTAATTTAAAATTTACAAGTATTAATTTTGTAAGTGTGTTTGTATGTGCATGTGTTTGTATCTGTTTGCATCTGTTTGTGTGTGTGTGTGTTTGTATCTGTTTGTGTGTTTGTGTGTGTGTGTGTTTGTATGTGTATGTGTTTGTATCTGTTTGTATCTGTTTGTGTGTGTGTGTGTGTTTGTACCTGTTTGTGTGTTTGTGTGTGTGTGTGATTGTGTGTGTGTGTGTGAGTTTGTGTGATTGTGTGTTTGTGTGTGAGTTTGTGTGTTTGTGTGTGAGTGTGTGTGATTGTGTGTGTAGGTGAGTTTGTGTGATTGTGTGTGTAGGTGAGTTTGTGTGATTGTGTGTGATTGTGTGTGTAAGTGA